CAGAAAGAAAGAAAAAGAAAAAGAAAGAAAGAAAAAAGAAAGATCGCAAAGAACCTAGTGAGTATGAATAAGGGTTTAGGTGAGTTAAAATACATCCACACAGTGGAATCCTGTACATCAGGTACAGAGAAGGAGGCGGCTCTCTGGGCACCAGATGGAATGCTCTCCAGGATAGAGTGCCGTCCTCATTGGCATCCTCCCCAGAGGCTGACCCTGAAACAAGAATTCAAAGGCATGTGGTTTGTTTGGGAGGTGATCCCAGAAAACACCTGCAGGGGACATAGCAAATGAGGCAGGTAAGGGAAGACAGCCCACAAAAGGGGATGCTGGGCACAGCATAGAACATGCACCTAAGTTATTCCACTCAAGTGGAGAGGGAGTTGGGATATTGATCCACCAACTCCCACTAGCCATTGATGGAGGTCTGCTCCCAGGGGGCACGTGGGCTCAGAGGCCAGAGAATCCTCACTTGCTGGCACTAGGGAGCCAGGCCAGTGGGCACAGAACTGACAAGGGCCACAGAGTTATGGGCAGCCCACCAAGAGCCCCTGCTACTCCTGTCGAGAACAGCCAGATGCAGAAAAATGAGTGCAGCATAAACCAAGGAGGAAGAATAGTGAACATATACTTTGCTTTGACACACATAGAAGAACATCTCTTTGGGGACACAGGAAACAGTTAACAGTCATTGGCATGGAGTGGGAGGAAATTTTTGGCTGGGAGGAAGGGGTGGGAGAGAGACTTTTCATGGTCTACCCTTCTGTGCATTGTCAATTTCGAACCACGTGCCTCTATCATCACTTTGCAAAAGGATTTTTTAAACCTTTGTTTAAAAAACAGAAAATTAAATGTGCCCCTTTTGTGCAGAGAGAGATTCTGTGGAGATGATATTCAATTCTTTAATGGAGTTACAGCCACATCGTGGGTGCAGCAGGGTGTGGGCGATTCCAAAGAGCAGATGATTCAAATTCGTGTGTGACGGGTACAGAGAGATACGCTTGGCTCCAGACCCACGCGTCTCCCTGTTTCCCTCTCTTGGGCGGGAGATGGGGCACAGTAGCCTCCGTGTGTCTTCCTCTAGCACAGACCCATGAGCTGAGGGTAGGAAAAATGAAGGCAGCACGAGGGAAGCCCCCACCTCCCACTCTATCCTCAAGAACCTCTGCCAATGAATGGGCCACTCTTGCTAGTTGGGGTACTGACCGCTTCCTGTCCCATCTGTGAGGTTCGAGATGTGGTCTTGGAGCACACCATC